TAAAGAAATACATGAACATTTATTTCTACGTTATAATAGAGTTATTATTGTCGGAGATTTTAATCTTAATCTTTTTGACATATCTAAGGCTAATCTCCCTAGAACTTTTTGCAATCAATATAGCCTATCAATACGACATAATAATATACCCACTCATTTTGATACGACACAGTTCGTCATCCCTCATTGACTATTTCATACTTGGAACTGATATTAATGTAAAAACTTCTTGTCAATTTCAATGCCCTTCTGTATCAAATCACGCATTTATTTTTATATCACATGTTTTGCACATAGAACGTTAAGAGATTTTCGTAATATAAATTGGGATGGACTATATGGTTTTTATGATAATGTACACACTCAAGTGGACATATGAAATACTTTTTTAATTCAGGAATTTGTTCCACAATTCGTCGTAGACCTATTGCTAAAAAGGATGCTTGGGTGAGAACTAGAGAAATAATATATGCTACATCGTTGAGGGATCTTGCGTATCGAGGTTTCTTGGAAAACTCAAATAATGTAAATTGGTATTCATTTTGTAAATACAGAAACAGAGCATTATCAGAAAGTTTACAAGAAGAAACTGGCAAAAATTGTTAAATGGTAAAGATGCATCTGAGCTATGGAGGACACTTGATAACGCTGAGTGTCTTGGTTGAGAAAGCTTTGTTCTTGTACATGATGTAAAAGAGGTAAATAATTTCATTGCTAGTGTTTCAGGGGGCGATAGTAACACCGTTGATTTTGATATGATTTTAGTTTTTCTTTTGGCAATGTAACAAAGGTTGATATTGTCTGCGCTCTATCTAAGGTTAAATCCACCTCGATTGGTGCCTTTGGAGTTTATAAATATTATTTTCCTTATGATCAGCAGGTATTTTCTACATATAGTGAATAGTATAATTACTACTTCTACATATCTTTCGATTTGGAAAGTTTCAAGAGTTGTAACCATACCCAAATCAGGGTCTGGCTAAAAACCTAAATCTAAGATGTTAGAATATTTAGAAGGAAATAATTTACTAAGTGACAATCAATACACCTACAGGGTATAATACTTCACTACTTTTGACGGAGATAACCGATATTATCAGATATGATCTGAATAAGGGAAAAGTGGATTTGTTAGTGTCTCTAGATCTATCTAGAGCATTTGACTGTATTGACCGTGGTAGAGTTGCAAAAAGACTTCATGATAAATTTAAATTCTCTAGGCATGCGTCCAAACTTATATATTCATATTTGTCCAAACGTTCTCAGTTTGTTTGAAATTAGAATAATAAATACCTTATTATTTGAGTTTGTGTATGTGGGTGGAAGAGGGAGCTGGAGAAACTGCGCCACCTCAGTCGGTCTTAACCATAGGTCTATGGAACGCAAATTTGTAGACCTAGCGGGACAATTGAATAAATGCACCGTGTCATGAGGACTTTGATGACAGGCTGGGCAACGATTTAAAGTGCCTGGAACAATACGTTCACGGTAGCAGTTGAGGAAACTGCACCAGCCGGCTCTTAATTGATCCAAGATGGTTCTAGAGTGCCTGGGTCTCTCAAAATCCGATATCGCAGGGGGGTCTTCATTTAGGACTCTGTTGCATCTGTAGCCATTAATGGCCTCGGTGATCGACATTTAATGCAACATTTCCCGGGCGCTTGCAATTGACAGTCTGTCGACGTTCGATGGTATGACGTCTTGAATGTCGCTGCGAAAGCGTCGGAAGTCCATCCGGATGTGCCTGGGAGGTGGATCCTCCATCAGAATCTGAGGGTTGGGGTGACTAGGCAGATGGCATACCAACGGGAACTGTCTAGTCAACAACACATTATGTTGTCTGACCTGGCCTCCTCATGTAAATGATCCACATTCGTCATCTTGGCCCAACCGGGAGGAAAGAGGTCCATACAGGGGCAGCATAATTGAGAAGAGAGCGACCAATAGCCTTATATGTCGCTACAATCGTCTCTTTATCCATGCCCCAAGAGGTGCCAGCTAAATCTTTAGGGACCTTGTTTCTGTTTCGAACCTTTTGGTTGATGTAGTTTGCGTGCCCTGCGAAGTGAAGGAGGCTATCAAAGACTACCCCTAATATTTTCGGGTTTTGAACCGTGGAGATAGTACGTCCTTCGACGGAGATGTTTAGCGCAGTCCTTACTTCTTTGGTCCAAGAGTGAAAAGTGATACCAAGGATTTAGAAGCAGATAACCCAAGTTCGATTTCCTGAAAAAAGTATGTAATGGTGGCCAAGTATTGGGTGATTTTGGCACTTATGTCGTCGATGTTGACACCTGATGAAATGATGGTGCAATTATCTGCATACGACAACAAAGAAACATCATTGGGCGGTTCATGAAGCCCGGCAAGATAAATATTGAAGAGTAAAGGTTAAAATACTTCTCCTTGAGGCACGCCCATTTTTATCTTGCGGTATTTTGACTTTTGACCTCTAAACTCAACAAACGCATGTCTTCCACAAAGATAGTTAGCTATCCAGCGTTTGACATCTTTGGGGAGTGTTGAGTTAGTGATGTCATTTATCAGCATCGAGTGATCGACCGTATCAAAGGCCTTGGATAAATCCAGGGCGGCGACGATGGTACGCTGACACGGCCGTTGCTGACCATTGGCGATCTGTGAGGTTATCTGTGTTAAAGCTGATGTGGTGCTATGCGCTTCCCTGAATCCATGCTGGTGATTGGCGAGCGGGAAATGCTCTTTCAGGGTTGGTAGTAGTAGTGATTCTAAAATCTTTGCTACAGGTGATAACAAGGAGATAGGGCTATAACTCTTTTGGTCCGGCTATGCGTGGCGTGGTGTTCGATAAATTGCCTGTAGAATTGTGTTGCGCATTTTTTGCCATCTGTGTGCTGCAAATAATTAAACGCAATAGCAGCGAGGTTTTGGTTTCTATTGTTTCCAAATAGACTCTTAATAGTAGACCATAGCGATTTAGAGTCAATTGAGCAATGCTTTAGATGGTCTAACCATTTGTTGCGGCGATGTTCGTCGACGATTGAGTCAATTTGTGCCGTCAACAGCTCAATATGCTCGTCAGCTGGATTGCATGCACGAAGGTGATCGCGTTGTTCTGCCAAACGTGCTGCCTGAGATGGAAAGTTTGGTCTACTATTCGGGATTCTTCCTGAGTATAGTTGATGTTTCGCTTTATGATGAAAGCTAGACCACCGCCATGATCACGTTCTCTGTCTCTCCTTATGATGTTGTAATCACTGGAAGCTGAGAGTCTACAATCCCTGGTTAGCTTCGTTTCTTGAATGGTGGCAATGAAGATGTTATTCATATGCATAAAATTGGTGATTTCCACGACCTTATTCCTAAGACCATTACAGTTTAACTGCATGATCTTAAAACATTGTTGGGAATCCCCGAATTGCATCTGCCGCCTGGGGGTGCCGATGCTGTGGTGTATTTAATATACTAGGCATTTGTGGTATTGCCGGGGGGGATGCACAGTCCTGCGCGGGGTGTTATGCACAGGTGTAACTGGGTTGGCAACTGTCGCCGGGGGATTATTTATGCAACAGGCAGCTAAAAAGGCATTTGAGCAAAATTGCCGACATGTTTTGCTCACCTAGGGAAAAATACTTTCGGTTGATACAGCTGTCGCTGGGTTGACAATCTTTGGCCGAGTATGACTCGGGTCGTTCCGGAGCGAAGGTCCAATTGTCGTGGGAACGTCTCAGTTTGTTGACATCGATTGTTATATCTTTAGGACTTGCTATATGAACTTAGATGTGCCACAGGGCTCAGTCATTGGCCCACTTATTTACATTTTGTACCTTGATGACTTAATAGAAAAAATAAATACCCTGCACATATGCAAGATGTTTGTTTTCGGAGATGATGTACATATTATATTAGGGAATGAAAAACTATTTTTGGATGATTTAGAAGTTACTACCAATTTCTGCCTAAATAATATTTTAACTTGGAAGATAAGGAATAGTTTTACCATTAATCCATCAAAGACTAAATGCATTATTTTTTATTCTAACCATAGCTTTAATATTAAAATTAATAACTCCAGTATAATATGTGTTGACCAATTTCGTTGCTTAGGTATTATTATTGATAATAAATTAGATTTCAGTAGCCATATTGCACGTTTACAGGGGAGTATTATTTATACACTTCATCGATTATACAATTCGGATATTTTTCTACCGTTACATGTCAGGCGTAAGGTGGCTTTCGCGCTGTTAATGTTAATGTCTGGGATATGGCATAGAGATAATAACAGGCACTTATTTAATAAATTTAAAAAACTTGAATAATGTCAAAATTAGTGAACATATTACCCCTTATGTTATTCAGTTGTTGGGCTGTACATTTAGGAAATTCTTATATTACCGTTATTTGTTTTTCTTTTATAAGATAATTTTAAATTCTTCACCACTAAACCTACGTAACTTTATTAACTTTTCAAGATCCACCACTTATGGCTTTTATTATTACCTGAATTTAAATAAAAAAAAAATAAAAATTATTTTATTTTCTTTTATTTTTTTATTTATTCATAGTAATATAAAAGCCACTGTTTGGCCAATATAATATATATTACAAAGCAGTAGTCTGAATTTATTTACAAATTTAATTAAAATTTACAAATTCCAAGTAATGATGTTAGTTTTAAAAAAAATCTAAAATGTATATAGATACTAATTAGAGAAAACAACTATCCTTATCATTCTATTCATTCATAAAAATAATGACTTCTCTGTGGAATTAATTTAATGGAATGACATAAAAAAATGTTTGCATTTATAAAGATATTTGTATAAAATTAAAAAATTTTAAATAATTTAAATATAAAATAATGAAGTTATGTAATATCTTTATTCCGAAAAATCTCGGAATCCTGTGATTGTAATTAAGCGACTGCCTACAGTCGCAATGTTTTACATATCATATATACATATGCACGTAAAAACGAAAAACGCTCTCACACCGAAGATAACACATATTTTTAAAAATGGATAATAATAACTTTAAAATCTGTACCATTTCCAAAAATGAAATAATATTGCAATATAAATAAAAAATACGTACTTGTGAGATTTTTCATTTTTGTCCGAAAGTATGGAAAAATTATAAATCGAACTTTGTTTTGGTACCAAACTTAAACCAGCGCCATCAGGAACATTGTAATGCTGTAATGTATTTAGCTTTTTCCATTCGTTTTCCGTTTTCGATGTGGTGTCTTCATCATATAAAATCACGCGACCGGTGGTCCCTGTACGCCACTCTGAAAATAAATAAAACAATAATAATATTTCGTTAAAGAATTAAATATCAATGAAACTAACGATTTCAACTCTCTAGGATGTAAATTCTATATCTAGATCAGACATGGAAAATTTCGTTATCGTACTAATTTTTTTTTAAGATTCAAAGTAAAACTTTTTAATAAAATTTACTAAATTCTTAAAAGTTTAAAAAAAAAATTTAAAAAACCCTATGGTATATAAGATTCGGCAAAGGTGAATATAGAACTCTTACTTAAATTGTCCACAAACTGGTCAATAAACCTCTCCATAGACTAATTCCTAACTAGGCCTATAGATTATGCTTACCGTTTGGTAACCACAACTAATTGTAAACCTTCCATCAAATAGGAGGAGGGTTTACAAGCGAATGCTAGGAAATAATGTCATAGATTGTTCAATGAGGCAAAGAGATACAATAATTTTATAACCTACAAAAATTCGGTGAATCGTTTAAAAATGTGACTACATTGAAAGATTTAGAATTAAAATTTCTTTTAGTTTAACTATTATACTCTTTTACAGGCAAAAATATTTACTATGCATACAGTGTCTTACATAAATATTCGAATTTATTATGAGAAACTGTATTATTTTATGATGCTACTTTAAAAATAATAATAATATTTAATATTTTTTAATGAAATTTTATTAATTTATATTATTTTTACGAAATACAAAAGTAATAAAAACTCATTAATGGTTTCCAAGAAAATGGAAAAAACCCAAAAAGGGTCATTTCAGGTACTGCGCAAAAATATTCGAATTTTTTCTAAGAACTTTTTTAGAATCCTTGAACACGTGCTTTATGGCCCATTATGCGGGTAGTGGTTATATGGAATATTTAACATTTTTTGGAAATTTGCATAATTATGTTGTAAATCCTTCCTGTGTAAGCGTTTAAAATGTTCAAAGAAAAAGAGTTGATCAATTCAAATTAAAAAATTAATTTATATCTGTATAATCAAGGCCGATCAATTAAATACATATAGGAAATGTTTGATAGATTCCCATCGACAATATATTTTGTCATTACACGCATGGAACAAAGAATTCCATCGAGTATTTACCATTATCAAGTCGTCCAAAACTGCTGTCAATACAGGACGACAGAGAAATACTGAGGAAATACCGAAGGAACCTTCATCTATCAGCTCCTAAAATTAACAACGACCTCAGGACAATCCTGTGAATAAAAATTAGTGTCGAAATTGTGCGCAAAGTACTAGGGAGCAATAATTAGCATGGTCAAGTACCAAGGTGGAAACCGCTCATATCGAAGTTAATGTGACTTGACTCCGCAAATAGATTCATAAGTAAGAATATTGGAGGTTATCTTCGACGATTAGAACAAATATAATATTTTTGGCTCAGATGGTCGTCAAATGATATGTCGAAAGCTTGGAGATGCCTTGGAATTATATAACTTAAAACCAACTGTAAAGGACCCAAGTTGCTCTGCCATATTTTGGGGTTCTGTGTCCGTCCACGGTGTTGGACTGCTACAATTTATTATTGTAATTATAGACTGGAAGGTCCACTTGTCAATTTTAGAGCAGAATTTGCATGCTAGTGCCACCAAAATGGGGCTACAACCCATTCAATTTATTTTTCAACAGAAAAACGGCCCAAAATACACGACCTGGTACCTGAAAATGTTGATCATTTACAACACTAAGTATCTTCTTTCACCAAATTTTCAATGAATTTAATGTCTGGACTTAAACTCCATTGAAAATTTGTGGTTATATTTACAAGAACAACTGTTAAATCACTCATTATCCTCTAAAACCACCATACGGTTGGTTTGCATGAAGAATGGGACATAATAACGCCAGAACTATTCCATAAATTGGTAGAAACGGTCCCACGACGCTTGGAAGTTGTTTTTAAAAACAAAGGCTACTATACAAAACATTAATTTCATTTTAATTATTCATTTTTACTTCATAATGCTAATCTAAATATGATTTATACAAAAAATTCGAATACTTTTGTGAAGCTATTTTTTGCACTTTTTTTAAAAAAAATTAAATTAGTTAGTAAATTATTTTTTTTTAATTTTTAAAATGTGATATAAAATTTAAAGACTGTCTGGACAACATTATAAATTTATTTATTTTTCCCACAAAATCTATTATAAAATGATGTCTGTTTTCATAATACATTAAATTCGAATACTTATGAGAGACAAAAGTAAAAAAATCGTTTCCTCAGGATTTGTATTAACTTAGGGCTCTTAATGTTTCATTTTATAGTTCTTAGTTGAATATTATAAAAAATTCAAAAGGTATTCTTGAAAAAGGAAAAAGTACTAAAAAGTCCCCTATTACATTTCATGCTTCTAGGTACAATATTATAGAAAATTAAAAATGTACGTTTTGAAGACCGAAAAAGTACCAAGAAGTCCCCTTTTATGTGTTCTCATTTAATCCAGCCTCTATAAACTTAATTGCATGTTACTAGCCAATAGCAACACACTACTTCATTCATATTTGTTGCTCTTATATAAACAAGCAAGTACAATGAAGTCGAGAGTTTAACGTGAACACCTGCCTTGACGGCCTAATTTCACGGTGGTCTTTTTCACCCACAGGGTAGACTAGAGACGGTCTACCCGCGCCCCTGAATTCTTCAATGAAGAACTCAGGTAGCAATTTTTGTACATGGCTGAGCCGGTCCATGTACAAGTACTTTGTTGAAGAACTCGAGCTATCTAATCTCTTGCCATAGTAGCCCCGTTGCGGAATGACAGGCAGCATGGGATCAATCCCAATGCAAACCCCGACAAGGAAAAAGCAATCACTGGTCTAAAGTCAATAGAAGGGGGTGACAAGTCCCAACATCAGGTGAAATCAATCTTCCGGTAAGCCAGAAGGTGACCACCCTTATGATGCCATGAAAGATTGCATTATTCAAAATGCAATCCCCATCATCTAATGACCCATTCCAGTGCATTCCTTAACCTCTTTAAGCCCGCGCAACCACACTACTGAGATGGCCCTGTTGGTTTGGCAACAGCACCTAGAGACATATTTGGTAGTCCGAAATACCCAACAAAATGGATCAGGATCCCTCTTTTATGAACCGATCAATGTAACAAAGGAAATAGGAATTTCCAAAGTCAATTGATTCCAATAATTGCCCCGACAAATAGTCGCGTAGCATGTATCAATATATCCTGTTGAGATGGCAACAGCACCGAAGAACTTCCCCGAAGCGTAAAAAGGCATACTAAATCAGTACTAATCTCCAATATATGGAGACTTTCCCGATCTTTCACCAATTTCCGCATCAGTTCCATTCCCATGATCATAAAGATCGCTCTACGGGATGACAGGCAACCATTGAATACTAACCTGACAATTCCCCAGCATATACCGGCGTCCCACTACACGACCGGTAAGAAATACCGATCGGGTTTAGGAATCCAGCATATGCTGCTTTGTACACAGACCTGTTCGAAGAGAGAATTATCCAACCCATTAGGTATAGGATATATCAGTCCTTAAACCAACATTCTCTCCCCGCGATTTGGGTTTCAACCACAGCCACTACGTGGATCCCGAAGGAACCTCAACCAATTGACCGGCCAGGACTAGGTCCTGTGGGCAACCGGCCACCCGTAGTGCCAGATTATATGGTACTCTGGTTAGACCCCATGCCAGATCATTCCAAGGAAAGGCCGAGGATACATCTGATCATCACCAGTTTATAGTCCCGGCAGACTAGAGGTATTGGTAGCACCTCTTTTCCCCGGGATTGCAATAACACCAAGGTGTAGCTTTCACCAAGGTAACATGCCCCCGGGGGGACAAGCAAGTACAATAACAAAAGTGAAAATATTTCAGATAGAAAAAATTTTATGGCCATTTTATTAGAAAATTGACCAACATTAATACACTTTTGCTCGCCACTGTAAGGTTTCAACATATATTTTCTTTAAGAAATATATATTAGAAATCCCATTGTATACAAGTGTATGTACTTGTAGAAAGATACTCTCATTTCTTATTTAAATACAGAATTTTAGTATATCTATACAGATGTATTTAGAAACACATATAGTAATAAAATGTAAGATTCGTGAACATGAGGATGCTCTAAAAAATATTTAAGGGGTATGTAAGATTCGCCATAGGCAATCGTTTTCTTAATTAAGAAGCAAATTTACTTACCTAAATCTAAATCATCTTTACGTGGTCTCTGGCTTGCAGGAATATTGCGATAAATAGTGTCTAAGCACTTTTCTTTTACTTGCCCTATGGTGTCACAATCTAAAACTTTTACGGGCACGTTTTCAGTATGAGATGGCAACATCTCCATATTATTACAAAATATTTGTTGTTGTATAATACTGGCGTAGACAGTCATTGGTTTAAAATCGATTAATTGACGTATAAGCTTTTCTTCGCTCAAAGAGTAGCGAGCTTCGTGTGTACACGCATCAACTGGGCCCTTATCGACTTGTCCTTTGACGGCTCGGAAAAGCATGTATAATGGTTCACCAGCACATTCCTTAAGAAATTTGTACAGTAAAAAGGTAAACCATGCGCTAAGCATTTTTTCGGCAACACTCTCAGTTCGTCTTAACAAAAGTTTTGGATGTGATTTGCCTTCAATACATTTTTCGATTAGATCGCCTAAAAGAGTTTTTAAAATATCTGTGCAATATTCTAGTTTGGATTGCAATGTAACCATAATTAATGAAGCAACGTTGACACGTTCACGCATTGAGAAATATCGATTAGATTCGAGAGTTCTTATAAAAAGCAAAAGAAATGTTTTATTCATAATAAGTTTTCCAAAGAGACGTAATCCATTTTCTTTGCGCAATAATTCTGGTCTTTCCCATTGTAATACGATGTGATCTTCGTGGTTAGGAAACAAAATTTTCATAGCATATGTGCAATAGTCCAAAAACGGTATACCTCCAGAAGTTAAATCACCTAATAATAGAAACAACACATATGATCAAATAATATATATATATATATTAAAGTAAATACGTTTTTACCTGTTAAATCTGTCATTTCAGTCTGTAATTCAGCAAAGGCTTCTTTACATTCGGCAGCAACCCTTAGTTCCAAGATATCCATCTGTTCCTGCATATTTCGAAGAACACGATTTGACTCAGATGTTTTCTTTTTATAAGCTACTAACAGTGCTACAAAAATCAATAACAAGACTATTACACCGGCTATAACAACAGCGAACGCATTTTTCCCCAGATCATGTATAATATTTGGTGAAGCATAACTTAGAACACCAATTTTATATTTCAGCGAACGTCCGACACGTACTACGACTTCAGGACCTGAACCATCTCTACCGCCACTATTACCGCCGCTATCATCATCATCATATTCACCTGCAAAGGGTTCCGGTGGAGGTCGACATGTTAGTTGTTGACGTGATAGAGATGTTATGTTGCATAGTTTCTTTCCAATAAACACTTGAACATCAGTTTCTTTGCAGGCTCGATCTAAATTGCGACCATTAATAGTTAAATATTCACTTTTGTAATATTTAACTCGTTCTTCAAAGTTGAAGTATACTGGATTGGGATATAGTTCAAAGAAGTTGTTGTGCTTGAGTGAAAGGTTTTGAACCTGCAAAACACTATCCATTAGAAAACCGTATTCTAGTTTTTCGGGATTTTCGGCGTCTATGGTATCACTGTTTGCCAATTCAATTGAAGGCGAATCACACGTCATATCAGTTGGCGATTTTACCACACACTGGCTTAAATATGTTATATTTTGATATATGACATACATACTAGGCGCTTGTATATAATTAAATTGGGTTCCACTGACTGTAATTTCGATACCGCCGGCAGGTATGCCTTTAGGAGTTTTCAACTGGACACCTGAAGGGCCGGAATATACTTGCTCAACTGTTGGGTCTAATACATATTTGTAATTATACTCATTAAATTCACGTGGGCCATTATCAAATGCCATTTTTAGGCGACCCTCAATTATGCCAGGCGATGGGGATGTTCTACAAATTGCTTGATTTACATCAACACTTAAAATTTCACAAGGCAAATGGTCGTTTATAAAAGCCTGAATACGAGAACCAGCATTTAAATATTTGCCAATTATACGTATTTTTGTGCCACCCGATACTGGTCCGTATTTAGGACTGAAATTGGTTATTTTTGGATCAACAAATTCATAATCCTCCTTTGATTCACCTCGGTAATCTCCGATTTGCACTACAATACGACCATTGCGGTACATTTGTTCTCCCGGACTATCAACTGTACAAACAATTTGTTTTGTGTCTATGTAATACTGCTGAAAAGGCATACAATTTATTCCAGCTATACGGACACCAGAATAGATATCAGTGAAGTTTTTTCCTAAATTTATTCCTCGTATAGTTATGTTGGTGCCTCCTTCCCATGGCCCAGTTTTTGGTGAAAATGAGTGAATTTCAGGGTTTGGGCAAGTTTCCATGCGATTCAACCAATCAGTTTTACCTTCATTATTATTTTTATTGCACTGTTCTTCCACTTCGCATGTATTCGTGGATGAACACCAACCACAATTATATTTTTCAGCTAAGGCTAAACACATGCCGCAGCTGTCGGCCATATCACGGCAGCGGTAAATGACGACTAAAAGAAATTATTACAATAATATTATTAATATTTTTTAATGTTGTAAAATATAACTACAACTACTTTATTACAAGAATACACGCGACGGTTTTCACTCTTGCTAGGAAAGTAGCCTTGTAATGTCTCCCGTCAATTATATTTTGAAAAAATAATGTAGTTTGTTTAATCTAGTTGTGTTTAGATGTTTCCTTCATTGATTTTATAATTAATTTTAAAACTTGACGTTGAATTAAATTTAGTTGTAGTAACAAAAATCGGCTGTAATATTATTTTAGATTTGAATCCAAGGATAATAGGGTGCCTGTTAATTTTATGTAGATCAACTGGGAAAGTCATTATTTTTTCTTAATGATAATGAACGAGATGCTATAAAATGCATATGATTTCATTCAAAGTCGACTGATTGTCTAGAAAGACTGATTAGAAAACGTTACTTCCAATTACAAGTCCTAAACGGGCACATTCTTACTTTCCTAGCTTTCAATTATGAAAGCCTAATCTTGCAATATATAAAAATCAATAGAAAACATAACCAATCATCGGAAGGGTATAAATAATATAGGAATGAAATCATTGTATACTTACCATGAATATCATGAGGATTGTCTAAGGGCTTTGAACCACCCCAAATTACCGCAAATGTTGCTGTTAAATTTGGCGACCGTGATGTATACTGAAATTCCATGTTGTCGCAATATATAGTATCACCTAATAGTTGAGCATTTAAACTAGTCACACGTCCTTCAATATTAAACTGACAAACAAATCTAGTTTGCACTATGAATTGTCCAATAATATGAACTTTAACCTTAATTGATTTACTAGTACCAGCTGCCACCAAAACTTCGCTTCCATCACCAGTGGCATTGATTGTGGGACAGAAACCGGGACCAGAACGATAACTAGGTCCTATTCGACTAACTCCAGTAACTAATATGTCATTTCGACAATTTTCGGCAGTGTCATGTGTGCAGCGATGTGCCTCAACGCACCAATCGCACGGGAATTCCGATGATACGCATCGCGTACATGACGAATGTGTACTGCAGTCAAAAAATGTAAAATCAGTCGATACTAAATCTGGTCCATTCCGTGTGCGTACGGATAATTTAGCAGTAAAATGATGTTTTCCTTGCTGAATTTGTGGCAGCATATCAGTGCGTGGAGTTGTACAATTTACACCATTGCGTTTTTTAGTGGCATTTGTAAAAAGAGCCTTTTCCTCGGTAGTAAATGCACACACGAGATTTTCTTTGAGTTGGGGCAAATGATCTATTATTAACTCTAAAGTACGTGCCGTTGTGCGTTGTAATTGATGAGGCATGACGCTAGTTATGGTTGTACATTTACCTGTCTTATAGCTAATCCAGTAGAGGGGGTCGTTAACATCATCTTGGCATGTAGATCTGGGCGAACATTTATTTTCTAATGAACACCAGCCGCAATAAGGATCGCGTGCTCCTAAACATTCGCCACACGTCTTGTAATCGCTACAGTCATATACCTTAGTTTTGGCCACTTGAGATTGCGACATTACGTATAAATGTAGGTTTTGATTATCGAAATGCATATCACGATGTATAGGAGATCCAATGTTTATTGGTATATTGGCATACTCATTTGCCACAGTACTAGATTCAACAACTACTTTCTTTAGGTAGCCATTTTGAGTGCCAATGAAAGCCACTGTATAGCCACTTGTGCTTGTTGCTGCTATCGATGTTAAATTATCTTTAAACATTACAACAGGAACAGCAGTGATGGGTTGATCTCCACCCAAAGGTGAGTTTACATCCAAACCACAAAAATCTTCGCCAATAGTTTGCAATTTAGTGGGTACACATGCCATATTTGGCGATATAAAATCTAGACCTCTTGAACCTACGCCGTTAAAACAAGATTTAATATTTTGCATGAATTTTCGGCGAATTGCTTTCAACGAGTAGATACATAAAGCTGAGTTATCGGTAGAATGATTACCACGTCCCTCAGAAAAAACAGCAAACAAAACGTCATCCTGAGGTGTTATCGAAAGATTGTCTGCTAAATCTGCACTGGGTTTTCCGAGATAAGCGGCCTGCACTAGATTATATTTGGTGCCACCCTGCTCAGTGCTTATACAGTCCACGGGAATTTCTGTATATGAATAATAATTGGAATCTTCTTGACAAATGCGCACTAGTTTCGTTATATACTCTTTGGGATTCGAATGATGATTATGTTTTAGTTGTGTTGTTAAAAAGTAAGAGAAACGTTCAGAGCTAAACCCATAAATATAGGTAACTAAGTATCCCTCTCTAGCATAGGAATTTATAAATGTTCGAGTACCCGTTGTAACAGCCGATGAGGCAATTTGAAACATTTTGGTTTTTTCTAACGAACGAGAAGCAACTGCAGGTATTTCACTGCGATATGGGGAATTATTTGTGTATGTTACCCCAACATACATAACATTTGTGACCGGATGTTGGGGCGGACCCGGTGCAATGAATGCAACAGTCGAAGAGTTGGCATCATTAGCCACCACTGCGTCGGGCACTTCCTGTTCAACGATTGACACATTCTGCAAGTTTCGTACAGTACACGTGCCCTGGAAAAGACTTCCACAAACTATTAGACGCGATGTAGCACGATCGATTAATAAAACCTTATTATAATTATCGGTGGGTTTGCGTTGGGCATGTACGGGACAATCTAAAATTGAGCACTCGACTGAATCATTTTTGGGACCCGTCTTAACGGTCTCGTGGATTTCTAAATCGGGTGATAATTGATACAATCGATTAACTCCTCCAACGTAAACACGGCCAGTAACTGTGTCCACAACCAAATGATTTAGTGTCGTATCAAAGTTAACTTTATGTGTAATAATTGTACTAACATTTTTGCTGTCATCAGGCGTTATTGATGATGCCGCTACTGAATCTGCGTTACTTGAGGATGTGCTTTTGTTTGATTTCTGAAACTGTTGCAATCTAGAGGATGTTAACGAAGAATTGCTTGTGTTTTCTGTTTTTAAATCCGCTGTTTCAAATTTGCCAATTCTATATAAAGAAGTGTCTGAATTTGTAAATAATATTCCATTGCGATCAGGCGTTAATAATGCCCCTGTTGACACATGTGCTTGATGAGACGATGACGACTTTAACGTAGAGGTAGATGATGGTATTGTTGAAGTTTCCAAGGTTTTTTGGCTACTAATTTGTTTAGATGTAACACATTGCATAACCAACATAACTGTTAGGAAGGAAAGAATAGGTATCTTCATTTTTTCACAACATATGGTTTCTGAAAGCAAAAAAAAAAAAAAACAACCTCAATTAGTAAATCTATAAACATACACACAAAAATAAAAAAGTGAATTTGTCGTAGTTATATGAATTATCAATTTGGTAATTTTTCATTCTCAGGTATCAGTCTTGAGGAGTTATATATAGAGTTCTGTAAAATTAAATCAAATGCAGTTGGTCATGATGCCATACCATTGAAATTTTTAAAAATAGTTTTTCCCTTTATTTCCTCGCATCTTCTTCACTTTGTGAATACCATTATAACTACATCGTCATTGTACCAATCAAAAAAGAGGGTCATTCTACTGAACTTGATAATTTACGACCCATTTCAATACTTCCTGTCTTTTCTAAGTTGGTTGAACATATTTTAAAAGATCAGATAATAGAGTATCTTGATCGTATGTCATTAATACATCCCTCTCAATCGGGTTTCCGGAGAGGCTATAGCACCACATCACTGCTTTTATCATTAACCGACTCTATCAGACAGCTTTTAGACAGCCGTAAAAATGTAGTATTACTTTCGGTGGATTTTTCCAAAGCCTTCGATAGGGTACTACATTCTAAACTGCTTTTTAAATTGTCGCAATATTTCGGGTTTTCCTATCATGCTTGTAATTTAATTGAATCTTATCTATATGATAGACATCAATATATATCAATCGGAACTTCGTTTTCCCACACTCAACGAATCACTAGTGGTGTTCCTCAGGGATCCGTTATCGGCCCATTGTTTTTCATGGTTTATATTAACGACCTTTTGCTAAAGTTTAAAGGTGTTTCCTTAAATTGTCTGCAAAAATCGTTTCAAATAGAGATTTAAGAAAACTTTCTTTTACTCTAGACCAATTCAAATTGAAATTATTGGAGCTGGAAGAATTGGCACCTTGAAATGTTTTCCTTTCTCCACATGTAACTTATATAAAATATAATTTAAACTGTTATACTGTTAATATTAGCCAGTTTTTATTATTGTGAATGTATGTATATGGTTTATTTATTGTTAATTGGTTATACATAATCATATATAAATATCAATTAATATTTGTTTTAGATTTTAATTATAATATTTTTAATTTACAAATATATATATTTTGTAGTTTCATATATTTAGTAGCTTTAATTAGCCATATAAGGCCCTATGGGCTCGGTTATGTAAATGAAGAATTAATTTAATTTATTTTCAAAATAAACCTAGCCTATTGGCCATAATCGGTTAATAAAAAAAAATAATATATACAAAACTTTATACCGATTTTGTCAAAATAAAATAATGGTTAAACAGGCAATGATATATTTAAAATTTACATTAAAAAATCAATATTTCCGGGAAATTAGACGAATTGCCAGAAATAGTCGGTGAATAATAAACACAACTAAAACGGCTAATTAAAAAAACGCAAAAATGGAGATAACTGAAGCCCGATTCCATGAACATTTTTGTTGAATTATCGAAAAATATAACAGTGACGCCAAGAAACCTGATGGATATGTCTTTAATTCGCACTTCAATAAATACTCTACATGCCAAATTGCCTCTTATTCTTTATCTAGAATGAATCAACGAAACAGGATGAAATTTCCAAAAATTTATCAAAACTTATAGATACAATGAATAAAATGGCAACCCTTGCCTAAATAAAACGTTATTTTATACTCAGCTGTCGTTTCTAACTTTAAAACTTTTAACAATTTATAAGACGATTTCTTAAATTTTTGGATTAATGTAATTGCTGAACAATATATTGTTGAAATTATTAAAAGGTGCATCATTTTCGATTGTGATTAATTTAATCTTATTGGTTTGACTTTGCTGCCGTAGTTTATATCCATCAACTGAGCTTTATTTGTTTATTGCTATTGACATGCCAGCTACCAAACCTTACAAGTGTAATATATGTCATGATGCCCTTGGAAAGACCCAAAGTAGTATACAATGCAAAATATGTAAATTGTGGTTGTATATTAAGTCTGCTAAACCTAAGAACCCTTTCTCCTTCTCCTGCAATAACTGTGTTCTTTCGCTGCTGATCACACATGCACATCACTAAACCGCTTTTTATGGATATGACCTCACCACACACTTTATTTTGACGTCTGTGGTGAGGTCATAATATTTGATCAATATTTTTGATGAAAAATGGAAAAAGTGTTTTCGAAGAATATCGTAGGATATTATCCTCTTTAGCATGTAGTGAGATCAAATTCTAAAAAATAACAAATTTTTCTTTGCAAATAACCATTTGTTGTAGCTGTGAACTCAAAGTTACGCTCTTAATCGAGACAAATTAAAAAAAAAAAATCTTGGGACAACGGTGTCACGTATACCTGAAAGAGTTAAGGATTTGAAAGCAAGTTTTGATGATTTTGTAAACTCAAATAAGGAGGACAATATGCTTTTACAGATACAATAGCTCAACTTTTGATTAATTTTAAAAATGAAATATCAGATTGTATTAAAGATATGAAATCCGATATAGTGGCTTGCAGTAAATTAATTTATCAAATCAATACCTCGGCCAAAATTGCTGATATTGAAATTTTTAATCTGAATTCATTTTCTAATTTGTTAGTTTTTTTCGTTAAATCTCTGTGTATTGGCTGATCTCATTGTTTATTGCTTACGATAGTGAGTAAATTTAATCATTTATGATATTGATTTTTGATTATTTGATTTGAAGGCTACTATAAAAAATATTAATTTAATTTTAATTATTATTATTATTAATATTAATTTCAATTTAATTATTATAAAATTCGAATACTTTTGTGAAGCTATTTTATACACTTTTTAAAAAAAGATAAATAAGTTTAAGTACATTATTTTTTTTAAATTTTTAAAATGTGTTATAAAATTTAAGGACTGTCTAGACATCATAATAAATTTATTTATTTATTTATTTTTCTATTATAAAATGATGTCTGTTTTCATAATACATTAAATTCGAATACTTATGAGAGACACTGTAGTTAGTTTGAAAGGAGGATGTACATTAGGGTTATGACTTTTTGTAAGCAGGAGCTTGTTGGACGTGAACATGAATATGATATTATTTTTTCGCGATGGTGAAAAAAGTTCCCGCACCAAAGGCGATGAAGTTTTGTATAGATTTTACTTTTTCTATATGAGAAAAATAAATATTTTTACCAACATTTTTGCATTTGTATTACATTATCTTAAAGAGAATAATGTTCTTTAAATCCTTGTTATTTAAATTTAATTTTTAACAAATCGCGATAATATTGCATGTTATAGAAAATAGTATACTTTTATATGAAAATAATTAAAATAATTTTTGAAAAATAACGAACGAAAGTATTTTTGACCGAATTGACTTAAAAAATAGCCTAATATTATCAGGACAGTATTGGATATAAGGCAGCGCTACGGTATTTTGCCGCCAAAAAAAGTCATTACCCTAATGTACATATACATTAAGTCCGAGAAATACACCTAGGCCTCTATCGGGCCTGTTGTGCGTTCCTTAACCAGTGCCTCAGGTGGGAATCGAACCCACCACCTCCGGTCTACCAGACTAAAACACTAACCACTAACCTACCGGAGACCACTCTTGGAAATTAAAGCATATAAATTTACAAATATCCGTTCAGTGTCCCCATATAAGACAGAATTTTGCTCTGAACATTAAAATAATTGAATCCAGAAAAATCAAGAAAAAAATTTACAGCAAACTGTTGTACTTCCTTTATTCGAACAACAGTTAACATTTTGAGCATAATCTAAAATGATCCAACTTCCTTTAAAGTATAATATAAATATCAAAATTATTCAGTTATTCACATGAAATAATCTATACCTTTCACTTAAAAAATTTACTGAATATTCTTTGAACGTGTTTTTGGAAATGTCTCGGTGTTCATTCATGATGTCATAATTTTACCAATATATCAATAAAATGTCCTACAAGGCTTCACACTTAAAAATTAATACCGATATAGAAACGATAGGTCCTACCAATAAAACACACAAAAAATCCCCTAAAGATTAGTTAGTCATCTACGACATTTTCAGTTGATAAGTTTTTTCGGTATTACTTGCATTTTTTATATTAAATTATATATTCGTATTTTTTAAATTTCATTAGGATACTTTGGTTTCTATGTCCACTCTGAACTATTATAAATTATTAAATATTAAAACTTTGCTTAAAATTTGACCTGGAGATCGATACAAATATTTTTTTCTGAAATAAAGAAAATGTGTGTATGAAACTAAAGAGCCACAGCTCAACAAAATACACAAGGCAGTGTAACCAACAGACATCCAAACATACGAAACGAAATACAGAAAAAAACAAAAACAAAATACACAACGCAATGATACCAACAGACATCCAAACATACGAAATTCAATACACCAAGAAAACAAACACAATATACACAAGGCAATGAAACACACAGCCATCCAAACATACGAAACGAAATACTCAAAATAATAAAAAAAAATACAAAGGCAATGAATAAGCAGTGTTTTGTTGTTTATTTTTTATGAAATTTTCAGAGGTTGTCTCGGATTTTTGCTTATATCTCTGTTGTTTATGAACGGATTTTGCTGATTTTAAATAGGAAACTTCTCGAAAACATTTCTGATAGAATTATTGAAGATTTGGATCCCGAAGATATCTGGGGTCTTCAGAAAACTGATTTCAACAGACAGACGAACAGACACAGACAGACGGACATGGCTTAATCGACTCCGCTATCTATGAGGATTCAGAATACATATACTTTATGGAGTTGGAAAATTATATTTTGGAAATTACAAACGGAATGACAAACTTATATATAAACTTATACTTATATAATAAACAAACAGTCTGTTGCCCGGGTTTCTTCTAAAATAAAGAGAATATTATTCTGGCTGTAAGACTATACTTTTTTTATTAGATGTCAAAATGTAGCTTATAACGATAAAATAGTTATTATATTCTTCTGCATTTTGTTTAATACTTAAAGTCAGTTTCTGGACAAAAT